CGTTTCAATTTTGTTTCCAGCAATCAAGCCCTGGTAAGAAACCCTGGCCAAAATCGAAGCTGATGAGTACATATAAACACAATACATACATCCTGCTTGGGTTGTATACCTCCTATGGAGCTGAGAAATAAATTTGTGTGCATAATATTGAACCTATAATATCTAGACTGTGGACACAACCCTGTCCATATTCCTGAAACACTAGCACTATATAGAGCATTATACAGAGCATCATACAAACATTATACAGAGCATTATACAGAGCACCATACAAACATTATACAGATCATTATCTTACCTTCATGTAAAATACTTTAATTTCATTGGTCAATGATACTTTAACAAGTTTCTGTGTCACCCCTCCTAGGAGGGTGACAACTAGAAAAAATATTACCCTCTGCCACGGTAACCGCCAAGCTCTCCGCCGAGAAGCTGTAGCGCTAACAATCATATGACGTCATAATATGACGCTTGCCGTGCCCGGAGTTTGAAAACTGTTAGATCAGCTGTTTTTGTGTTCACTTTGTACAGATATATATTTCCGACTTTAACTGCTTTATTTAAGCTATTTTATACATTGACTGGTTTGCACACTCAACTTAAACATAATTAACCATTTTTATAGCAGTTTTAAGCTTGTCAGAATATGTTTCACTGATCTTAAAAATCCAGTCGAGAGGCAGACGCCATTTTATTTACATGTCATATAGTCGGTCAAGATCTTTAACATAAAATGAAATGATGTTTTGTATATTTAACATGGCGGTAAGATAAATATGTTGTATGCTTCTCCCTCGGGTAATACGGTCTGATGTACGCCTTTTTGTAGCAGTGTCATCCCTCGCCTACCGTCTCTGGTGATACTGGTACAAAGAGGCATACATCAGACCGTATTACCCTCGAGAGAAGCATACAACCTATATTATACAGGCATTATACACAGCATTATACGGAGAATTATACAGAGCATTATAAAAGCATTACACTGAGAATTATACAGAGCATTATAAAAGCATTATACGGAGAATTATACAGAGCATTATGAAAGCATTATACAAACATTATCCAGTGATGTTCATATTCTACTGGCAAGCAAGGATAAGTTGGACTGGCACAGAGAACGCGGTTATGAGAAGTAGGCTGTGCACGGCAATGAGCCAACCCATTTGGTTTGTGAAAGTTAGAGCAGATGTAGGCTGGTGTGCGTGCATTGTATAACGATGAAATTGATTCCGCATAGCTGCACATGCCTTGCGCCTTGCTTCACCTATCACAATACACTTCAGGACAGACAACCTGGGTGCCCTTCCCTAACAATGGCAATCACCAGTGGGCAGCACTCATACATGCTAATACGGGTCAATTGTCAGTTCGGTGCTCAACTTATCCTTGTTTGTCAGTAAGGGGTCATCCTTGATTATCGGAAGGACAATTGTCTGATGGCAATTATTTTCAGGTATAATATCTCCATTCTTTGATGACAAATAACGAGGGACCATCAACGTACCCAGCGTAACTTAGCATGTTGATCCATGTTCAGAAGAACATGGCGTCTTATCCGGTTGTTGACTGATTGGTAGGTGATTGGATGGAGATCATCTCTTCTGCCAGGAATCAACAGCTGTGAATGTTTTCGTGGGTTGTTGGTTTCCAGGAGAAGAGTGTGGAGAGATATGAGAGACAGGGCGGTGAAGTAATGTACAGAAGGAAGCTATGGTAGTCAGTGGGTTGTTGGTTTCCAGGAGAAGAGTGTGGAGAGATATGAGAGACAGACGGTGAAGTAATGTACAGAAGGAAGCTATGGTAGTCAGTGGGTTGTTGGTTTCCAGAGAAGAGTGTGGAGAGATATGAGAGATATGAGAGACAGACGGTGAAGTAATGTACAGAAGGCAGCTATGGTAGTCAGTGGGTTGTTGGTTTCCAGGAGAGAGTGGAGAGATATGAGAGACAGGACGGTGAAGTAATGTACAGAAGGAAGCTATGGTAGTCAGTGGGTTGTTGGTTTCCAGGAGAAGAGTGTGGAGAGACATGAGAGACAGGACGGTGAAGTAACGTACAGAAGGAAGCTATGGTAGTCAGTGGGTTCCAGGTTATTTATCAGGTCAGAATGGAGGTAATATACACTGTGTACTGTAGGCTGTAAAGGAGGGAGTGCCTCTGTAACTAGGGCTGGGACGATACACTATGTCACGATGTACGATACATATCGCGATATTTACCTGCGATATGATACGTATCACGATACATACACCTTGAAAGAATGACACAGTATCAAGATTTAAAATGATTTATTTCAAAGTATTTGTGTTTAACAATAACACTATTGTAATAAACAAGTAACTCCATCATACTTGCGTATTTTTCTCTAAATAAGTACTGTAACATGTTTAAGATAATACTGTTTTAAAAAAAATGTTGTGTATCGTTTTGTATCGATACACCAGTCGACAATATGATAGCTGTATCAACTTTAATGTATCGCGATGCATCGGTGAATCGTCCCAGACCTATCTGCAGGCCTAGCAACAGGAACACTGAGGTACAGGAACACTGAGGTTTTCTTGGAAGTATTTTTGAGAGAGAAATGTCATCTGCATTTTATCAATTTTGAGAACATTTTTCTCTATCTCTAACAAATTTGTTAACAATATTTTGAATAACTCTGAAGTCTGCGTGGTGGGCATTCTTGTTTCAGTATTGTCATAATCACGGCATTTGTGTAGAATTTGACCTGAAGAAGACTAAATTAGCTTCTGCTCCTAAATGTTTCAATTAAAAATTCCAGCACAGATACTTGCAGATTTATCAAATGTAGCTACACATGTACCAAAACACTGCATTGAAAGAATAAAAAACATCATGAAAAAGAAACGGCAATCCATTCATCAGGTTCTCTTGCTAATCCACCATAGAAGTAGCCAGCATATCATAAATAATTATTTTTCATGAATGTAAGAAAATTGCAGGTGATGTAATACTAGTGGGACTCCCTCCTTTAAAGGCCAAAAAAATCAACAGAACATATTCTCGGGACAACTATTGACGATATACTGCTATATTACAGTTTGAAGATAAATGCATAATTGTACAGCACTAGACATAATTATTTATACCTGGTACAAGTACATAATGGACTGCGACCTGTTCCACAATGCAATCCAAGAGTTAAACTATCATAAATCTATGTTAGAATCATCCCAGCTCGTAGATCACTTCATACCACAATAACCTAAGCCTGATTCAACAAAGCGATCTATAATTCTATGTTAAAGTATAGGCATTCTGATGATCTTAGCAATAAGATCAGTTGGGAGACAAAAGCTCTAGGGTACCAGGTTGCATCAAGTAATCTTAGTTCTGAGACTATCATAAGTTCCTGTTAAAGCGGACCAGTTATGATCGTCTTAGCATCAAGTTATCTTAGTTCTAAAACTATCATAAGTTCATGTTAAAGTGGACCAGTTACAATCATCTTAGTATCAAGTAATCTTGGTTCTAAAGCTATCATAAGGTCATGTTAGCTGACTGACTGAGTTTGGTTTTACGCCCCTTTTAGCAATATTCCAGCAATATCACGGCGGGGGACACCAAAATGGGCTTCACTCATTGTACCCATGTGGGGATTCGAACCCGGGTCTTCGGCGTGACGAGCCAACGCTTTAACCACTCGACTACCCCACCGCCCTAAGGTCATGTTAAAGCAGACCAGTAACTATCGTCTTAGCACTAAGATCACTTGAAAAGATCCTGCATGGTCAATTAATACATAGCAATCTTGGTTCTATGCCTATCGTAACTCTTGGTTACAGAATATGGTCGTCTTAGCACTAAGACTGTTTTGAAGAAGATCCTGCAGGGTCAGTATTCACAAAGCAATCTTGGTCTGATACCTATCGTGAGTTAAGTCTGGCTTGAAGAAGCAGCATATGATCTTGGTCTGATCATCTAATGACTAAGATCACTTTGAAGAAGAAGCAGCTGGGTCAATTTATAGAAAGCAATCTTGGTCTGATACCTATCGTAAGTCTGGCTTACAGCATATGAGTTACGATCATCTAAGTACTATGATTGCTTTGAAGAAGAAGCAGCTGGGTCAATTTATAGAAAGCAATCTTGGTCTGATACCTATCGTAAGTCTGGCTTACAGCATATGAGTTACGATCATCTTAGTACTATGATTGCTTTGAAGAAGATATAGCAGGGTCAATTTATGCAGTCTTGGATCAATGCCTATCGTAAGTGGGTTACAGCATACTAGTTGTTGTCATCTTAGCAATAAGATCACTTTGTAGAAGGTGCTACTGGGTCAATTTATACAAAGCAATCTTGGTCCGATACCTGTCGTAAGTGGGTTACAACATATGAGTTACGATCATCTTAGCACTAAGATCTTTTTGTAGAAGGTGCTGCAGAGACAATCTGCACAAAGCAATCCTAAATTCCATGACAATAACATATTCATGATAAATCATAAGAGTTATGATAATCTTAGCACTAAGATCGCAATGTGGAACAAGACCCTGGTCATTTACAACAGGGAAGGTAGCAAGAGAGAGTCGTTTGAAAATCATCCATTCAGTGTTCAGTAGTGGATGGCCACACAAAAGAATCTAAATATAATTAGTGAGTGAATTTACTTTCACAGCACTTTTATCAATATTCCAGCAATATCATGATGGGGGACACGGAAATGGGCTTCACACATTGTACCCATGTGGGGAATCAAACTCGGGCCTTCTATGTGATGAGCGAACTCTTTAACCAATAGGCTACCCCACTGCCCCTAAATATAATTTAAGTGACCTGAAAATTGGCTCACTTCACGAGGTCATCAAACACATAACAAAACATTTGTGCTGATAGTTGATACTTTTGCCCCATTGTAAATGACCATGTCCAAAAGTGGCATTGTGTAGAGTTCTAGCCCAAGACAGCATCCTTATAAAAAACACAAGAAGATAAGACACTGACTTGATTTCAGGCTGTTCGGGATTCTTTTATGCTTTCAAATTTCCTTGGAATATTTTGTGTAATATTTGTCCTGTGAGAGTGGCTACTCTTCACCAACTGCCTTGTTTACTCTGCAGTGCATTAAACCAATCGCCCTAGAAAAGAAATGATGATAATGTAAAGTTTATGAATAAATACTTTCTCTGAAAATAATTTATTTTGTCAGTTATGAATAATATCAGTTATATACTTCAGAGTCACAGAAACTAAAACTAATTTTCTACTGACAGAAGAATTGAAAGAAAAAGAGAAAAGAGAAAAGAAAAGAGAACACAAACAACATTTATTTGGCCGATAGCCATGCTTAAAAGTCAAATTTGTTTACAAACCATGATCGCAGTGGCACACAAAATAATCAGTTATAACACTAGATTTTCAAAATTGATAAAATATGAGCTAAATGTTCACAATAGTTGACCACTTTTCACCCCAAATCACTATGCATGATTACATGCTTAAAACATTCTCACTGAAGTTAGGATATCTGCATTATTGATTTAAATGTGATCCCAAATTCAGACATGTGGGATTGTTCAATCTCTCAAACTGATCAAGGTATGATGCTTTTGTGATCTGTTTTATCTACAGAGGTACTTATTGTATGCATTTGGCACATTTTTTACCCATGGTAGGCCTGTCATTTTAAGTATGCTTTTGGCTATCATAACTACTGCTATACTTTCTTTGTCAACCCACCTATGATGTTTGAAAGACTTAAGCACCATTGGAAGTTGTCATTTTATGTCTATCGACATTGACAAAGGTGGCATTTTTTCAACTTGACATGTGTTTGAACATAAAGATGCTCGAAGGGAGAGAACTCTGCACTAGTTAATAAATAACATTTTTAATAGTTGAAGATGCTTTGCGTGTTGGCTATTTATCTTACAAGCAGAAAAGCTGAATCTGTTAAATCCCAACCGTTGCAGCTGAAAATCAATGTACCAACATTCATTCAATTTTGATTCTGCATTTGTTAAAGAGCACACATCTGTTAACTTTACAAAAACAACAAAAAACAAAACAAAAGCAAGGCCAGAAAAAAAGTTATCAGCAAAATAAGAATGTATTTTCCTTATTTTCTTTTCCTCATAAGGAGACCAAAGTCCTCACACTGCACATCAGTTTAGATAAGGATAGATAACTCTTCCACTAAAATCCAGACAAGACATTCACATTTTTATTCAGACAAAAACCAAAAGTTTCAAATGCTCTGAAAGAAAAGTATTTTAAAAACAGCATGATTTTATTGACCTGTACGAAGGCCGAAAACATTGACGTTTCCTAGTCTACAACCTTCATAACGAGGATGTAAGTATTGTGTGTTAGTACCTAACTATACAATCCGGATTTCACTAAACAGGGGCCATGCATAACAACTCAATACATTAGGCAAACATTACTCTGCATACAAACAAGAACACAACACATTAGTGTTTTTTTAAGAAAAATTACTGGTCCAAACAATGAACCCAAGGCCAAATATACCATGCTCCCAATGTAACGTAGCTGAACCTGTTAACTAAAACACAATGTATGGCACACATTGTTCTACATAATATGTCTAAAAGTTCTGATTTTCAGTACAAAAAACATACATGTATATATGTTCACCATTGATATGAAAAATGTTTTGTTTGCGTTTTCTTCTTAGTGATATGTATGATAATGGAAATGTATGTATGTTTCATGCTACACTCAGTATTCCAGCTATATGGTGGCGGTCTGGACCAGACAATCCAGTGATCAACAGCATGAGCATCGATCTGCACAATTGGGATACAATGACATGAGTCAACCAAGTCAGCAAGTCCCACCATCCGATCATGTTTAGTCGCCTCTTACAACAAGCATGGGTTGTTGAAGACCAATTTTAAACTGGATCTTCTCGGGTCTCACATTTGATGCAAATGACGATGATGTAAACAAGATAATACAACGTGGAAGTTACGATTAGATTGACAAACAGGGTTATTTGCCTATTTGATGAAGCAATCGTAACAACTGTTGATGAGAACATTTCTGGATGTCCTTGTGAGTGCCATGAGGGTATATGTGATGAAATGATACCATGCAGCGTAAAGCAGTTACATATGTTAACAAAGGAGCAATGCAGTAAAGCTGGACACCATCTTATGTAGCAATTCTAACGTTGCGATAGACGTATACAGTGTACGAGTTGTTGCTCTGGTTGGTTCGCAAAACACCCCATTTCACAAAGTGGTCAAAACAATATAAGTTTGACATGTTGTGACAGTAGTAACTGAAATCATTTTGATCAAAAAGTTCAACAGTCCATTTGTTCCAGAAACAGTTACTTTCCAGTGGTGAGCACATGTTAAGGTACATGAATTACGACAGATGTAGTTACGATCCATTTGTGAAAAGGTAATTTGACTTTTTTTGACAAAGCAATCGCAAAGGTACAAAAGTTTCATGCCATAATGAAGTATCTGAATTACGACAGTCATAGGTAGGATCAGTTTGTGTAAAGAATATGTCCCACTCGACAATCAAATGCAACAGTACAACAATTGCGAGCCAAATTAAAGTATATCAATTATGATAGTCGTTTGGTGAAAGGTTAATTGTTGTATTTGTCAAAGCAGTTGCACAGTGGAAAGTCAGTTTGAAGTATATTGTATACAACAGTCATAGTTAGGCCTTTTTTGTTATTACTTGGTTTACGGATCCGCCGACCAGAAATGTGAGGAAAGTGGGAAAAAGAAGAAGAAGGTTTGCCATTATATGCCAACTAACTGATAAAAAACAAAGAAAGTGAAAAAAAGGAAAAACCAGCAAATTAAACCTTTCAAATACTCCCTGAAACAGTACTTGTAAGTGGGTGTAAGATCTTTTCTGGTCCACACCCCACCAATCTACTTAAATATTTTATTCTCCGAGCTGAGTTGTCAGAATTATACACTTTTACCTGTGGAACAGAGAGAAAGCTAACGCCACAGACTGCTCAGCTGGCATGCCGGCACCTGGCATAGATGATATATACTCAAGTGTGCATGGCACCTGGCAGTGTGCATATAACATCTATATATTCCCCCCCTTTTTTCCCTTCCTACTGACCTAATAATATATTTTTTTTAAATCTGTAAACCAAGTAATTAAAAACAAGGGCCTTATGATCAGTTTGTGAAACAGCGTTATTTGCCCTGTTGACACAGAAATAGAACCAAACAGGTTTGTCCACTTTGTGAAACAGGGACCAAGGCAGCATCAGTCCCGATATGTATCACACACAAATGAAACAAGTTAACAGTTGAATATAATTACAGACTCACAAACACACAGGTTTCTATATCGTACAATCACCGGCACATAAACACTTCCTACTTCACTAATGGGCACTTTGGTATTAACATGCAATAACTACGATAACAACGATATACACAGTTTATGCCCCATGTCGATGTTTGAAGACTATTATCCACTAAATAAGCAGTTAAAAAGAAGGATGCTTTTCAAGTATTTCCTTTTGCATTTTATGATGTAGGAGTCACTAAAATCATATTTTCACTGATAGTTTTACTTAAGTACAAAATTTGAAGACAAAGTCTAATCTTCTATTTCAGTGAGATTAGCTGCAATGAAAGATATGTTGAAATCCTGCAGAATACTTTAGGACTGAACTTTTGATAATGCTTTCAGCAGATTTTAACTATTGTGGAATCTGTAAGTCCAGTGAGTCCATGACCAAGGTCCATTGAGCGTTCTTAGCACTAAGGAGTTTGTAACTTCCATATTTGATCATAGACTTATGAAAGTTGTAGTCCTATAACTGCTCCGTGGAACGAGACCCTGAAGAAGTAAGCATCTGTCCAAGGGACACCTATTACACAGAGTTCGTTAGACATAAACATCTGTGTCTACATAGAGGCCAGTAGACATTTGTCTGTGTCCACTTGAATTTGTCTAGACAGTCCAGAAGACACAAACCTCTTTCCACGGGGCACCTTCTACACAGTTCATTGAACAAAATATCTGTTTCTACTCTGCTGAGTCTACATAGATGTGTCTACTTGAAGTTGTCTAGACAGTCCAGAAGACAGAAACATCTGTCCACTGGACACCTTCTATACAAAGTTCATTGGACATAACATATGTGTCTAATCTGCTGAGTCTACATAGAAGCCAGGAGAAATCAGTCTAAGTCTATTTGAAGTCTGGAAAGACACTTGACACTACTGGACAGCTTCTATGCAAAGTCCAGTTGACTCAAACATTTGTCTATGTCTACTTAACCACATAAACAATCCAGTCATTACAAACACCTGTCTACTGGACAGCTTCTACAGAGGAGCCCACTGGATTCAAATAGCAAACTGTTTGGAAGGGTCTCCAAAGAGTCCAGGAGACTTTAACTAGACAACTCTGGACAAGTCTACTGGACAGCTTCTAGACAAGAGTCCACTGGACAAACAGTAAAGTCCATCTTCTAAACCGGACTCCACATTTGGCACGCTGTAGCAGCACATATAGGAGTATCAAGCAGGAGTTAATGCAAGGAGGTAATATTGTAGTATACAGAGGCACACATGCTTCAGCTGCTGGCTACGGAGAGGCATACATGCCTCTCAACATGGGACGATTTATGCATGCACTCCTTGAGTCACGTGACAATGCATGCACACGTTACAACTTCTCAACTTCATGCTCATCATGGGGAATCGAGTGGCCTGAAAAAGGTGGAAAATTCCGGCATGTTACCAAGAAGACAAAAACTTCACACACAAAGGTTGCACAGGGTTAAATGATGGTGTTAGTTTGAGTAAATATACATCACTGCTTAATGTGCATTTGGATCATCGAACAGGTGGAATTTCTTTTGTTTCTGAGTGACTTATCAAGGTTACACATGTGTAATTAATAATGTTTACTACTTGATATTTAGAAAAAGTCCCTAGCAAAACATTCTGGTCATATCAACTGTCTGATTTCAACCAAACTAATTCTTTGACTGGGTCATTAAGCAAAAACAAAATACCAAAACAAAAACAATGTTACTGCAGAAGATAGAAAATGTTGAATGTGTCCTCTGGTTGAGCAAATGCCTTAGGTTTGGTACTGACAAAAAGTGAATCAGTGACTGGATCCTGTCACAACTAAGGGACACAACTCTATTCAGAGATCTGTCCTGCCACAAAGACTCTCCTAACATCCCCTACATTAAACCTCAAGTGAAAATGTGGAAACATCAACTGCTGTGTCTGTGCCGCAGGTTTTTCTGTTTTATAGAATTCATTATTTTACAATTTTATAGAAAAACTGTACACAGTTGAAAGAGGTACTCAGCAACTAATTTTGATTTTCAGGTTTAAGTACAAAACTTCAGCAGATGAAGATGGAGAGCAGACCTGTTCAGAAGCATCTACACATATTATACCAGAACAATAATCTCGTCTATTCGTCATCATTCCCACGTCCTTGATAGGTTTAGAACATCAGACAACATCAAGCAGTGTTCCCCTTGTGGGTTGTCAGTTAGTTCCAATAAACTGCTGTGCTATTGCTGTGCTATTGCTAAAAGCAGCATAAAACTAATCTCACAGAGTTAGTTCAGATTATGGGAATATGAAATTGAAGCAGCACGTGTTAAATGCAAGCATGAATTGTTGAATAGTCCTGAAATATACTGAGAGAAACAAATAAAGGAACACAGGAAAATTCAAGCGTTTCTTTAATATTTTCCAGTTTTCATCACCAGCTTTGAATAGCATTGTGGGAAGAAATCCGAGAATAAATAAAGGAACACTGCCATGAAATGGTGTTCTCTTATTTGTTTCCCTTAGTATATAACCATGCCATCGTAACTGGAAATTGTCTTGGATGTGTGCTCCACTGGTTCTCGCCAGCTATTATGTCCTGCCTACAGGTAGTTATCTGAATAACCTTGTCTCATTCAACTCAGATCTTTTGATAAACATTTCCTATTCTGCCATTTTTGCCCTTTTTTCATTTCTGCAGATGGTAGAATATTTCCAAATGTGCCTCTACAGACAAGTGAGTGAGCAGTTTTATGCAGCTTTTTGCAATATTCCAGCAATATCACGGCGGGGAACACCACAAACTGGCTTCAGACATTGTGCCCATGTGGGGAATCGTACCCGGGTCTTCGGTGTGACGAGCGAACGCTTTAATCTCTAGGCTACGGCACAGCTACCTGTGAAGATCCGGGCTAGAATATTGATCTTCAGTAACCCATGCTTGTCGTAAGAGGTGACTAAAGGGATCGGGTGGTGAGGCTCACTGACTTGGTTGACACATGTCATCGGTTCCCAATTGCGCAGATCGATGCTCATGCTGTTGATCACTGGATTGTCTGGACCAGACTCGATTATTTACAGACTGCCGCCATATAGCTGGAACATTGCTGAGTGCAGGCGTAAACTAAACTCACTCACTCACTAACCCACTGCCCCTCTACAGACAGGAGTAAAAACAGGCATGGTTTGACTGGCTATGATGCATATTGAATATATACTATTCAAATCCATAAAATCATTTAGGAATTTAATTTACTTTGGACCCTGCAGTCTTTCAGGCATCGGTGATAAAAGATAAGGGCTTGTTTGTCCATTCACTTCAACTAAACAAGACTGCATTATAGGCTAGTGGGTCGAGAATCTGCTCACCGATTGGAAAGTCTTGTACTATTTCCTAGCTGCATAATACCAAAATATATTAAAAGATGGAACTTTTTGTTTCCTTGCCTGGTGTTTCGTTTAAAAACTGTAGCTTACAGGATGGCAGAACATTAGACAGGCTAACAGTAAACGACAAAAAACCAGACAATGCACCATAGGTTAACAGATTTTGAGTTTGGTTGAGCCCCAAAACATAACAAAGTAAACTGTATAAGATGAAGAAAAAAACACAAAAACAGCAAAAGTTTTGAGTACTAACTTTCATAAAAACAATAAAAAGAGCCAGTCAGCAATGAAAATACAAAAATAAATTCTTAAAACTAATCTTACCACTGGCATAAATTTTCTGACTAGAGGTCTGATTCAGAGTTACCTCCCTTGACCAAGAAAAATATATTCATTATCACAGTTGATAACCATATTAGACAAACATGCATTCAGACTAAAATGAAGAGGGCTCAAAAATTTTAAAATCTGCACTCGCCCTGTAGGGCAAGTAATATGAACTTTCCACTCGTCCTCCTAAAATTGTACTTTCCCTATAGATCATGCATCACAATGAATATAAATTTAATTTATTGTATTTCAAAATGGTTGCTTGGAATAAAACTACATTTCTTACTTTGACAAAATTGAATTCGTTCACCATTTAAGATATCTGAACTTCAAGGAAAAGAAAATTGTTACATTTGGGTCAGAAAATGTACTCGTCCTCTAGGAGGAGCAAATTATGTTTTTCTCTTGCCCGAAACAAATTTTACTTCATCAATACGAGCGGACAAGTGGTATTTTCGAGCCCTGATGAAGAAAACATCTCGTAAACATCTCCGATTTAACATTACACATAGAACAGTGCAGTTATATAAAGGCAGGCAACATAACCACTTAGCTATGAAATAAACAAACCATTCATTATATACAGACATTCCGTGAGTGGTCAATCATTAGTGTACATGCACAATTAACAGATACATATTTAGTTGATAGGGCAAATACTCTGAGTTTACAAACAATTTCTAGTGTTACAAACTTTACAAAAAAAGCCAAGGCTCAAGAATATGTTGGGGATATCTTTTTGTTGTGAAAGTGTTTCGAAAAAATATTCCCATAAAATAATCATGATCCTTGACCATTCTTGTTCAGGTAATCACAGAATTATATGAAGACCTTGAAGTATTATCTCAATCTTAATGAGGTATTCAGTATTAATACTTTAAACAAAGTGCTGATACTGACAAGTGACCTGTCCTGTGTTCATAGATTGGGGCATACAACTATTTTTCCACAAGAACAATGCCATTTGACTTGATTTGGTTAAACGTATACAACTAAATTCCTCAAACAAAGCATGATCCAAGGTTCTTAGGGCTTTGTTCTGGTATGTAGCATTTGAATCTGGGACCCTCTGAGATTCATACATTTAACATTAGGGCTAATGTTCAGCTGTCAACAAGTTTAGAGGAACACGGTATTTATACAAATTGTGGAACTGCTGAGCTGAAATTCTTACAAAAAAAATGGAAAAGGAATAATATTTTTTATCAGAATTTTTGTGTGAATCCTTCCATCTATGAAAAGAAACAGCTGTTGTATTGCTAATATTAAGGAAGAGGAGCGAAATGACTTCAGCATGCACTACTCAAGTTATAAGAGGGAAACACAGCTGTCATTTTATTAACATATAAACATTCTTGTGTATTGTGGATATACAGAGAGATGGGTGCATTTGCTAAGAAAGTTCACAGTCAACAAGTTTATTGCTTGTAAATATTCACTGGAGAAAATATTATGCATGATGTGACCTTATAGTCACCTCTGATTGGATAAAAGTAAAGTGAAACCTGTCTAAACTGGCACCCCATGGAACCGAAATGAAATGCTGGTTTAGACAGGGTGCCGGATTAGACAGTGTCGATCATTTTCAACATGGCTGCCATTTACACTCGTCAATCTCTTTACAATCTAGCGTGCTGAGAGGAGTGTATTGGATTAAGGGACCCTGATTGGACTGCTCACACCTATGCCGGCTTAGAGCGTTTGATTCACTACGCAATTACTATTTCCTGATTATCTACGTGCCAAGAGGATTAATTACTGTATTGGAATATGGGTCCTTGATTGGACTGCTCATACCAATGCCGGATTAGACAGTGTTTTAATGATCATAATATCGTTGTAAAATAGGGGGACCAAATTTTTTTGTCGGTTTTGACAGTGTGCCAGATTAGACAGGTGCCGTTGTTGGCAGGTTTCACTGTATACCGGTGTTAATCAATCAGTATAAACTAGCACTTTAAAACATTTGAAGAATTCAGTGAAAACACTGCAGTGATTTTCATTCATCAGCAGATTAAAATTTTGCCAAAGCAAAAGAAAATACACCTGACATTTTGGCAAGAAACACAACAGGAAAACTGTCGTGAATGTTATAAATATCCATAAATGGTTATCCCAAAACTTTTCACACAGACTAAGAAGGTTTGAAGAAAAATATAAAAATATGCAAATTGTGGAATTGAAATGCACACCAAAACAAAAAAGGATTATCATCCTACAATGAGTACTTTTTGTGATATCCTCTTGTGTACGAAGGAAGACATAGCCAAATAAAAGGATTATACTATTTTAACTTAAAATTTTTACAAACCAAATATTTTATTTAAAATATTTATACTTTTGTCCACTGTTCCTATTCACATGACTTAGTTTGTTACAAAGAGACAGTGCCCGGTTTAATGTGATAACATAAATATGCATCTTACAATACTCAATATATACATCTTACAACACATCAACTTTCTAATGAATGAAAGCGAATTTCAAATTCTGTGTATACCGATTACAACTTGTAATCCTCTTTTTCCTAATCAATATAAATGTTACGTTTTCTTTGGTTAAACATGAAAGTATCATGATAAATGGTTACTGCCTGGTTGACTGGTAACTTCGTTTCAACTGCTTGGTGAAAAATAACACCACACAGTTTGAAATATCCTCGGCCTGAGACAGTTCCAATGGATGGCAACTTTTCCTAGTGGACTAAAATTCAGATAGATGGCAACTTTGTAGCAAATTATTAATGTGAACTAGTGAAAACAGATAATTTCTAGCCCTGCTATTCATGTACATGTTATAGTTTCTACTGGTTTTGGGAATTGATTGAAATCTCACAATTGATGATTGCTTTATTACCAATGAGCAATCATTGAAAGAAAATGGTTAGTGTCATTTTTCAGATTTTCCTTTTCAGTTTGTTATTGCAGATAAGTATAACATTGTTCTCCTTTGTTTTTGGGGGGGTTTACTTAGAAACTGTGGAAATTGCATTTGCAAATTTCATGTCCAATGTACAATGACGCAACTTGTTACTTTAAAGTGATGACTAATATATATCATGAACACAAACTTCTTCAAGAAATATTCAGTCATGATTTTTCAGAAAGTGAAGTGAGTTTTCTAAGAATTAAACACATTTTCAGGCCCCGACAACTTCTAAGATATGTTCCATCGTCAAGGGTTTAAACACTAAAACAGTAGTTCCCAAATCGTTTGTGTTCGATTATGAGAAAATGTGACAGACTGCTTGGTTGTTTGGCCACTGGGACCAATCTTTGATAATTTCAATTAATCGGAACACCACTAGTTACTACTCCATTTCAAAGGATGGCAACATTTTCAAAAGGACGAAACTTCAGGTAGATTGCAACTTTGTAGCATATTATTCTCAACCAGTGAAAACAGAATTATGTTCCTGCTCCGCAATTCATACACATGTTATAGTTTCTGCATATTGACTTCGTTCCGAGTCCTACCCTTTGATTTCTTTACACAGCAGCAGATGACGGGGATGGCGATGACGGTAACCACGCCGATGACGATGAGCGCAATCTCCCACCATTTCCAATCGTGATTGCCATTATCTGGTGTGGGGAATACTGTTGTTCCTGCAAAGATAAAATTCAACAGTTTATTGTGTGTTTAAAAAATTTTGCTCCGGAGGGATTTATGCAGAGTTGCTAAATCTAGAGAAAAGGTGGGAAGGGAACTTTGAAGTTTTGAAAAACATATTTAAGGGGACTTTTAAGTTCCTAATCCTATTTTCAAAAATTCATAAAAATTGGAAATTTTTACTATAAATTGTATATTTATATACCTATCCTATCTCACGTTCTGTACTATCTGTTATTTTTCACAGCAGAGTGGAAACGAACTGTAAAACAAAATTTTTGGCCTCTTTTGAACCATTTGCCCAAACACACACCGAGCTGCTCCTGTATCTGGAAACTGCCAGCTGAATAGAAACTTGCAGCTTGTCCTCACATTGGTCATGCTTCTTTTCAGTTCTATTATTCAGTATCAGGGGCCTCAGGCAAAGGGTACAAACAATATAAAATATTGTTGGAAAAGCTGTACAGATTATGTAATACATAGTACACAAGATTCCATTATATTGACTGCATGATACTAGTGTCTAAAACTCCCAAAATTCCAAGACAGACAGTCGGACTGGTAGCTTTAAAAAAATTACCAGTCCGGATACAAACTTGCCTGTCCGGTTTTCAACAATAAAAAACAAAAAGAAAATCAGGTTTCTGAATACTTTACAGCAGAAAGCCGGACAAATTTCCGTAACATCGTGTGGCCTTACGATAGCGACTGCCATATCCAACTCGTGCAAGCTCCGTTCACTGTTTGTAGGCATCGCAATGAACTATATAACACTAACAGGCAGTGCACGGAGTTTAGGTAAACTGTAAGCACACGTGTTGTGATTGGTTATCGTAACATGGACTGTCCAATCGTAAGTAGTTTAACATAGTTATCATAATACCTTGAACACCTCGAACTGATGACAAGAGAACATGTCTGATGTTATGAAATATTTACTGTTAGGGGTAAAAACATCTACCAGCCCACCGGACAGGCTACTTTTGAAATTTGACCATCCGAGATGAAACTAGACCGTCCCGGACAGTCGGGCAGGCAGTAGTATACACAAAGGTGAAAACGGGACCAGGTGCTTATAAAGCCTTGGATAAGTCCCTAATCCTGTTCCACCATTGTGTATACTACTACTGAGGTGCAAGCAAAATTTGATGAAAATTGGTCGAATAGTTTCTGAAATATTGGTCGGGAAAAAGGCTCGGGTCGCCTCGGGGGTGGTTGCTCCTCCGAGCGCTGTGGGCGGATGAGTCGCAGTGCGTGCGCATGTGTGTGTGTCTCTCTCGGCTCGGTGTACGGATGGCTGGCTGGCTACATTAAGCAGAAGTAAAGGCATGCAAGACTGATAAAAAATCATGACGAGAAACTATCATCACACACTGGGTGATGTGTAAGAGACTGTGTCGTGAGGTACGATCATCAACTCCTCTCTGACGAATGCTCTCGGCATCCCGTCTTTCAAGTAGTATAATTTCGGTTCGCCGTCTTTGTTGTCGACCAGGTCGATGTTGTACGTTTTCATGGACCATATCGGATCGGTGGCGTGTTTTCTGCTGTCTCCCTCGTGTTCGCCCGGCTGGTATAAGTACCTAACGCTGACACCCACGGTAATGTTTTCTCTGTTTTATCGTGACGTGCAGCTGCCGACGACGATTCAACAGATTTCATTTTGATGGCTTCAACTGGTCTTTGGCCCACGAGTCTGGTGACTTTGTTGTTGATGACATCCACCACTCGTGGCAAGCGTACAACCCATTCCGTGTTTCTGTTTCCGGGATCGATTAAATCCTGCGAGCATTGGTGAGAGAACAGGCGTTCGGCTAGGGTGCGATTGAATCTCTCAACGATAGCTTGGCTACGGTGAGCTCCCGCAATACCTCGTCTCACCTGGACTTTGTGCTTGGCCAGCAGTTGTGACATGGCTTCCATGACCTCGCGTCCGGGATCGACTTGCATTACGTCAGGCGAGGTCAAGCGACTGCGAATTTTCGAACTTCGAATTTTCTTCTCGGGATGTATCATGGCGCCGGCAGGTAGACTTGCCAGATGGCTTGTTTTTTAAGCCAGGCTTTGGCTTTCTCTTCTGAGACTCGAGCGGCTTTGGCGAGTTTCGGGATGGACATCCAATCCGGGTTCACCGTCAATCTTTGGGAGCCAGCGGATAGCTGTTGTGCTAATCGTGTAGTTCTCGGGGGTACTCTAAGTCCACTTCGAGCACGTAGCCTTTGTTCGAATCCGGCGCGATGCTATTCACATCGATCATCTTGGGCGAGGAGACCCATTCAAATCCCCCGGTGGGGAGATACTGATTCATCGCCCAGCTGTACAGGTTGTTGGCGTCGAGATAGAGACACTACGTGTTTGGTTGGTTTGCTGGGGTTGTGACCTTCCACGTACTTGTTGTTGGCTTTGGTGTATCGTTTGGATGCCATGGAAATTCCGCCTCGCAAGCCTTTCTCCACAAATAGGTGCATGTCGTAATCCGTTAGCAGTTTCAGCTCCACGCGGGTCTTTTTCAACAAGGCGTCCCAAGAGAGACCGGGGGAGGAGAAATACCACGCGGGATCCAGGCCATACTGTTTCGAGCACGTTTTTCTGAATATCTCGAACACGTCGGCCAACAGGAGCACATCTGTTTTCAAGTACAGGTCGTGGTAATCGCCCAGAGTCTTGCAGCCCAGTTTGTCCCACACGTTATTCGCGTGCGAGTAATCGTCCGGAGGGTGGGACGAGTCAGTCAAGTTGCTGTAAAAGTGATCAATGGGAGGCAATCGCGTCTCGTCGAACCTGGACCAGCCGTCCATGTATTCGTAGGGGTAGACTCCCATCCTCAGCAGCAGAGGTCGAGTCTCGGCGTTGGTGTATCGATTGGTGATGTTGAAGTCATCCGAGTTGTTGCCGTTGACAAGACTGTCTAGAGATGACATCAGGAACTGAATGCTGTCTATGAATTTCAGACCGTCCAAGGAGAAGGAGATGTATCTTTCCATGTTGTTGGGGATGCACGTTATTTTGCCGTGGACCTTCGCGATGGCCTGCATGATCAAGTGGGAATCGTAAACCACGAAGGTTGTGAAACACGCTGGGCATTTTGATGGTTTTGGGATCGATTTTGAGCTTCAAGTTGCACGCGTTGTGAGCGGCACCTCTGTACTTGCCGGTGACGTGGCAGTGATCTCTCACGACATTCCCATTCAGGGGTTGGTCGCACACGTGGCAATTCTTAGCTTTCTTATGAGTTCGCCAGTTGTCTTGGGTCATGCGCATGGGGACGACGGTGTACAGCTTTTTCCTGATGATTTTCTCTTTGTTTTGCAAATACGTGAGAAATCATTCGGCCACGTCGGGACCTCGGTAGACCAAGGGAGCGTTCATTTGTCCGTCGTAACTGAACTCGCGCAGGCTGTAATACATTTTCTCCATGATGTATGTACGCATGTGTGCGTGAGCATTCAATTATTCCATACGCGTTTGTGCCCGTACGCATTAGTGGTGACTCCGTCGATGGCAATCCATCGTTTCGTGTCCGTATATCCTGTGTCCGACGCTTCTCAGCATGATCATCTGGTGTTTGAACGTTTTATTCTTGAACAGGGCTTTCTTGAATCTGGCGTGCTTGATGCGTTTTTCACGCCTTTCGCCTTCCTGATTTCCTCGTCGTCGGCTTTGTTGCTGGAATACATCTTGGGTCTCAAGCCGACGTATTCGGCAATTGGCGTGCACGCGCATTTGTCCTTCATGTTGCCGAGCACTTTTTTGTTGACTTGGCTTTGAATAGGGTGGTCTTTGGGGTAGTCGCTGGTGTCGTACAGGTGCATGCGTTTCTTAATGTCCTCATACACGTCCTCGGTGTGAATTTCCATGAGCAGGGAATCCGTGTCCGTGTACAGCACTTCGCACCTGTCGCCGTACTGTTTCTTCAGCTCGTCAAGTGTTTGGATAAGTTGAGGATGCTCATCCCCACGTAAACGGGCCGTTTGAATTTGATGTGGCTTTTGTTCATGTGTAGCGCTGCCTTCTGCTCAGTCTATAATGGAGTCTCAGAAGGTGACTGTACTACAACGCCCCCAGGTAAGGAACCAAGTGAGGTAAATCTAATGCCCAAAGAAAAGTAGAACGAAGATGAACTGAAGTAAATACATCTTTGACCTGGCTATTAAGTCCCAACGGAGACCTAGAAAAACTCGACCGTGCAGCTTCCATTCAAAACTTACTCGATTCAGAAAGATGGTCTTAAAGGTACGACAGAGTATACTGTGCCAGGCGTCTGCATCAGGCGTCTGCATCGAAGGGACTCCTCAACTTGAAGTTTCTGAAACTTGAGTTGTTCGACTGACACTTGAAATTGAGTGTCGCGATCCACTTTAGTGGCAATATACTGTATAATGCTGTTGCATGGAGAAGGGCTGGAACACGGTTGTCTAAGCAGATTCACTGAATAGCGATCCTCCCATGATGTCTGGTTGAGCTGGCTACATCTCCTTATCCCCATGACATAACCCAAAATATGAGTGATCTGATCAAGTACAGTCTACACTGCCCTGTGGATGTGGGCGTGTTCCTGAAAGGACGCATGGGCAACAGTCAAGGCTACAGCTTCTGTTGTAGACAGGATCAGGTTGACTGCAGGTTTGGATTTACGGATCACTGTATCCATGTGAGCCAACTCCAGATCCTCAATGAGGAAAGGAGAGTTGCTGCGCTTAGGATATCTTCGTGAAAACTTGTAGAGATACCATCCTTCACACGTTTCAAGTTCTGGAATGCAGTGTCCAAGAACCCTGCCATCTGGAGCGATGATGAAGGTAGAGAAATTGGAAATTTTAACTATAAATTGTATATTTATATACTTATCCTATCTCACGACTTGCACCTCTCTCTCTTCATTCGACCATGAGTGGAAACGAATTAAACTTTGCTCCAGGCCTTCCTTGTCCCTATCCCCCGTGCTGTGCATGCCTTCCTGCCTTAGCCATGCTCACTAGGCTGTGACAGCACATGGCATGCACAGTCCTCACCCATGTGATCACCTTCCATACTCATTCTCGATCTTGGAGCCATAAAAGGACAAAACCGGAACGGTGGTAATCTAAGTCGTGGGGAGGTAGGGTGGGACTTTATCGCGTGAGATAATTATATAAATATACAATTTATAGTTAAAATTTCCAAATTTTTAAACTTATCCTATCTCACGACTTGCACTTATCCCACGGTAGGAAGGTGGGTCATAGATTACCTGAAGTTCAAGCGATAACAGCTAAGCGTTATGCCAAAACAACCGTAGGAAGCAACTACAAGGCAGGCCAATACTACCAAAGTTACTACGTGTGGGGGTTAGTGCGAACCCATTGACTTACTAAGCACAAGTGCTCCCAGGGACTAGGAGTCCCGTGCAATGTGGTGTTCAGTCACTACTTTCACAAAGTGAAAGGACGCAGCTTAGCGAGTCTAACCAGTCGCATCGCCGCGATTTCCAAGGTACCCCCGTAATAAAAGTCTAACAACTAGTATCGGCCAGGCCCAGTGCTTCGAAACAACCCCCACAGACACCATCCCGAGGAGGGTGAAAGGGTTATTGAATCGGAAAAACTCAGTTCAGTACCACAACATCATCTTATGACTTCCACTACTTACCACAGTAAGTTAACATAGATGTGTATAGGTACTTAGGAGCATGAACGCTACGAAGTGTAACACTTCGGGAAGGACTCACTTGTGACCCCTGCGAAACTCAGTTCATGAGTTCATGAAGTCTTCATGAACAGTTCACGAAGAGTTCATGAAGTGTTCATCAACTTCAACCAAAATCTTGATGAACCTTCTTAATGAAGACACATTTCATGAAGACACACTTCATCAACTTCATGAAGTTATTTTACACTTCATGAAGTTATATTTTACTTCATGAAGTTTTTGTTCATGAACTAAGACTAATCTTATTCACTGTAAATTTCCAGAGTAAACTACATTGAAAAGAAAATACAGCAAAAATATTACAAGATACAATACTTTCATTCATGTTATGTCAGTGGTTTTGTACAGGTGAAGCATAAAAATATTTTCAACATATTTATGAAAGTTTAAATTATCTGAATCTGATTTGTACAATTTTGCTGACATGCTTGATGTAGCTGTGGTCAGTTTGAGGGAATCTAACAAGATTGAGGAGCTGGAGAGTGGGTGTTTGCATTCACTACTGGTTCAAAAAATGAATGAGGCTATGATAACACAGTTTCACAGATGGATTTTTCAGCATCAAAGACAAGAGTCAGAGGAGACAAACTTTTAAGCAATTTGAAGAAATGGTACACAGCCAAGTTGGCTTTCTGTATACAAGTTACGTTTAAACCGAAATATAATATATTTAATAATTGCTAAAAAGGGGTCATAGGGCACTGCTTCGAAAACGTGCTTTGGCACGAAATCACAACAATTACGTAAAAGGGTATTATGACGCATTTTTGTGGTGCTGTAAGGTAAGTTGGAAAACATCTACAGCAGAAACGTGTCTTAGATTGTGAGTAGTAGTGTTTCAAACAGACAAAACTTCACTTATCACACGTTACTGATGTAGATTTTACACACTTCCTAATTTTTAATGAATCTTTCACGTTATCTACACCAATATGTCTATGGGGCCTTTTAAAATGTTTAATGTGCCAAACAAGAATATGTAAACAATATCACAATGTTTATTTCTTTACTAAGTCTCTGGGTCCAGTCTGAATATTAATTGTACGTGCAGTCGAGACTCAGCATTCCCGGGTCAATTCTTAATTTTTGTAAAACCCATCGAACACTGATTTAAACAACTACTCGCTTAGTCCGTGTAAAGTGTGAAAATGACTTAAAATGTTTTGTTTTGAAGCCAGTTTCTGACCACAGATGAGACATTCAAATTTGACATTGTGTATATGACGGTATTTCCTTTCTTTTCATGATGGAATTGGTAAATCTACCTCCAGTGAGTCGGGTGCATCCGCCATTTTGGAATGATGGCTGGTACCGGATGATCTCGTCGATCGTGATTTTTTGAAAATATGTATAGAAAATGTGGATAAATGATACCATAAATCTTATGGAGCTTTTAAAAACTGTATTGAGTCGTATTTGCTTCTTTAGATATGTTATTTATTTTGAAGAGAAAAAAACCCAACTCAACTGATTAAACTAAAGATGTGTCTTGGCATTGGTTCAATTATGACATCGAAAGAAAGAGCACCTCTAATTGGCTGGAAGCGATTTTGGCGCTTTTCTAAAATCTGAACATGGCGGTACCGAACATGACTGCATCTATGGACGACACTGATCGTGTGAACTTCCAATGTTGTCTTCTCTTTTGGTACGATGGAGAGAGAAATCAATTGTCTCTGACAATTTCTTCACCAACCAGGAAAGAAGTCTTGGCAAAGTTCTGTGGCAAACTACCGCGCCATCGTTGTGGGAATCAAAGGTAAATGATCGAAGTTTAAGTGAAAAAATATTTGCTTCTGTATTGAAAAATCGTGTGAGCTTGTCACATTTGTCAATATTTTGATAAAATCACATCTTCAGCTTGTACAATTCAGTCTTAAGACCCGAGAAGATTCGGGTTAGAACTGACCTTCAGTAACCCATGCTTGTCGTAAGGGGCGACCTACGGGATCGGGTGGTCAGGCTTGCTAATATGGTTGACAGACAGCCGCAATATAGCTGTAATATTGCTGAGTGCGGTTTAAACCTCCCAAGTTCTGTATTCCTGTGTTGACATTTTTGTGATTGCTTGTATTTGTTGTTTTAAAATTGATGTGACAATACCAAAGATATAACTTCATTATCCAGGAAGAAATTCTTTGTGCATCCTTTGTCTAAAATAAATTCTTTTATTTCAGCAAATTCTGTTCTTCATAAATTGGGATTTAATGTTGATCTTTGTGGCAGTAAAAAGAAAGGTGTTTTGCAGAAAAGGACCAAAAAGTTTTCAATATCAGGAATGTGATATGCTTTGTGTAGTATTGATTAAAATTGAAGTTCCCAATGATTAGTAAAATATACTAGCTCTATGACAAAATTAATTACTATGACTCTGTGTGATGAAAGAATAGTGACTTAGCACAGGAGTTACTTGTTCCGTTTCATTTACATGCATGAATTTAAACATCAGATATTACTTATCTCATTGAATTGTTTTATCTACCAGATCCTGCGTCAACCTATGTGCCTTCAGGGGTTAAACATAAACAGTCAAAAACAGACTTGGACTTGACAGGAACCAAAGGTATTTATTTGTGTTCGAAAGGTATAATTTGTAGTGATGCATCAATGGATCAAATGATCGGATAATTTATCATTTGACAATCAAACTTTGATTATATATTTTAATAAATTCCAATCGATAAAACTATACTGTCTTCAAGAATAACAAAGATTGGTGTACATGCAAGATTTGTAAATACCTCCAGGTAGGCCATAATACAGGAGGTCGAGGCTATTTTTAGCTTGCCAAGGGAGCCATCGTTTTCTTCTTTTACAGGTAGTGGATTAAAATAATAGTTTTAGGGTGGATGCATATATTATTTAGACCCATGTTTAATAATATGTTAGAATATGCAAGCATTGATGAAGGTTTCGTAAAGGCATGTAGTATGTTATGAAGACGTATTAAAAACAACTCCCAGGGTTGGAATTATCAATTAATCCCTTGCCTAACGTCCATGTCCACTGGGTTTTTTTCTGTCGGGCAAGCAAATTTGTATATCACACTGTACCGGTGTCCATTTGACTTTCCAATGTTAATTATGTTGTTTACTTAAACCATCAGCAAGAAAACGGTCGGTATAGTGGAAACATTATCAGGGCAAGTTGCTTTACATGTGCCACTGTATCAGAGTACACTATCAATTTTAAAGTTATTTCTACCCCTGAATTCCTGATAAATATATCACATTGAAATCGAAACAAGCGGAGCAGACTGTGAAGAAACTGTCTGCTTCCCCACCACATATAATCGCATCACGAAAACATTCTGTATTTATGAAAGGCTCAATTCTTATTGAATTCACGAACATGGTTGGAAATGTATACATTTATTGATGTTTGTCACATTCACTCTTAGGTCTATAGTCGTTCTATTCTGATTTCTACATGGAAGTCGACACATAGATATTGAGGTCTACTTTCTCAATTTTCACACACACAAACAATTGGCAACATAAGTATCTATGTCGAAACGTTGCATGTAAGTATTAAAGAAGTTGTTAGCCATAAAATTATCCTTGTCCATTCTTTGAATATGAACTAGTAAATGCCAGTACTTCCACCCTTTATAATTTAGCATTGAAATTTCATGTGTTGCTTACCATATGTCTTGTTATCGTCTATGCTTCCAGGTGATCCCGCCATCTCTGAAGGTTAAAAGGGCATGACTGTTGTTCAGTTTAACAGAACATAAAAAAATAAATTTTGTATTCTGCTTGAGCTGAAGAAGGCATTATAGTAATATTAAATGCACCAGGGATATCATTACCAGTATGCGCTGAAATTGGTTTTGAAAAATTTCAAACACTTTTAATGTCACAAGTATTTTATGGCAACTTATAGATGTATAGCATATTTCGTATCCTTGTTATATATTGTATATTGATAATGGATAGACCAGACAGAATGTGTAGTAAAAGACATATCGAGGATGAGTATCATTTTATTTGTATTTGTAGTGCCTAAGAAGAAATTAGAACCAAATATATACCTGAAAAATCCTATATATCACAAATTTGCAATATTGATGTGCAGAAACAATGAAGAGGTCTTCGTGAAGTATTCAAGAAGTGTTCATGAACTCTTCGTGTAGTATCTTCATGAAGTCTTCATGAAGTAGAGGTCTCATTTAATGTTCATGAATTCTTCATGAAGAAACTAGAGATCTAGAACGACACTTCCTCCGAACCAGATGGTGACTCAACTTGTGTGGGTGAATTGTTTCGGTGGGATGAAACCGTACGAAGAGGAGAACAGTTATGTTCCAACCACGCCGAGCCACTCTTCGATGATGAATGCTTGGATTTAGAAGTTTTCGAGGACTTTGAACGGTCCGAAGAAACGGATCTACGAGATGAAGTAGATCGCAGGTCTTGTGTAGAGGAAATATCAGCCATTACCACCCTTGCATCCCCATGAGAACTTAGGTGAGGAAAGCGTCCCAAACGCCTTTTACATACTCAGACAAACAGGAATCAGACGAAGCGTCCATAAAATCCTCGTTAGGGAGATTTAGAACGGCAAGCAGGCAGGGTGGGGTGATGTAAACATTGTTTTTAGCGGGAGAAGGACCAGATCCCACATAAGCATTCCTGGCCCAATGTGCCAAACGTCTGGCACAAGCACGTTTGTAAACTTTAAAATCCTCATTAGACAGTCCTGAATACTTAGGACCACGTTTGTCCCAATCACAACAACCCAATAATCAACACACGACGTGTGTGGGTCCCAAGCTGAAAAAACTTTATTACGCTGAGTGCAAAACTTCGTTTCTGGCCTGAACAGGCTTAACCATGTTGAGCAATTATGAGACGAAAAACAAAGATCACGTCCACTCTGTTGAGCAACAAGAAAGATAATGAGTATGGAAGGTGATCACGTGGGTGAGGACTGCGCATGCCACGTGCTGTCATGGCCTAGTGAGCATGGCTAAGGCAGGAAGGCATGCACAGCACGGGGACAGGGACAAGGAAGGCCTGGAGCAAAGTTTAATTCGTTTCCACTCATGGTCGAATGAAGAGAGAGAGGTGCAAGTCGTGAGATAGGATAAGTTTAAAAATTCTCCTCAACAGGCTTAACCATGTTGAGCAATTATGAGACGAAAAACAAAGATCACGTCCACTCTGTCGAGCGACAAGAAAGAGAATGAGTATGGAAGGTGATCACGTGGGTGAGGACTGCGCATGCCACGTGCTGTCACGGCCTAGTGAGCATGGCTAAGGCAGGAAGGCATGCACAGCACGGGGACAGGGACAAGGAAGGCCTGGAGCAAAGTTTAATTCGTTTCCACTCATGGTCGAATGAAGAGAGAGAGGTGCAAGTAGTGAGATAGGATAGTTTAAAATTCTCCTTTCTTCAAAGCAAGCGTGAGATAGGATAAGTTTAAAAATTCTCCTTTCTTCAAAGCAAACGTAGATAGCAATTCATCAGAAGTCTTGCTCCTCTCTAAGCATAGACTGTCCGCTATCTAAGCCAACATATGCGGCCTGTCTACTAGATCAGTGCTCCCTTGAAGCGTTGACAGATCCTCCGACAATGTGGGAGAAGGAGGGAAGGTTGGCCGAACCATAGCTGGTGAGATCAGCTTACTAGGCGGAGGCACTTCGAAGAGTCCGATTGCTGTATCTGTTTCCATGCTGTAGCCATGGCTCGGACCATAAGATCAAAGTCCAGATTAGGTTGAGGTTGAGTATCTTGAGAGCACAGGCTGAGATCCAGTGGGCTTTCTTGATGAGACGTTCTTTCCTCGACCTCCCAGCTGAAGAAGACCCGGACTCCTCCAGCTTCTTCCTGGAATCCCGGTCTGCTAATCATCTTGACCCAACCTTTCTGTAGTTGGCAAGCACTCATCATCGTTCAGATTCATACAAAAAACTGCATCCAGATTTCCAGCTGCATAACCCTATGCAGTGAACGCAAGAAATGTGTGGATCTTGAGCTGGAGAAGTTCTTCTTGCACTGATCGCAGACTTTTCTTTTTCTTGTTGTAGAATCTTCTTTACCCGTGATGAGTGAGTGAGTTTGGTTTTATGCCGCTTCTAGCAATATTCAAGCAATATCGCAACAGGGAACACCAGAAATGGGCTTCACACATTGTACCCATTTGGGGAATCGAACCCGGGTCTTCGGCGTGATGAGCCAACGCTTTAACCACTAGGCTAAACCCACCGCCCATTACCCGTGATGAAAGATTGTTACCTCAATTTATTGTTACAAATATACAGCACGTCAGCACTCCAGTGCAACAAGAAAGAGAATGATTATCCAAAGGGGTCACTTGATCAATCTGAGGACAAGCTGCAAGTTTCTCAGCAGCTGGCAGAGTGTCCAGATACTGGAGCAGCTGGGATGTGTTTGGGCGAATGGTTCAAGAGAGGCCAAAAAACTTTGTTTTACAGCTCGTGTCCACACTGCTGTCGAATATAAGAGAGATAGTACTGAACGTGGGATAGAATAAGTTTAAAAATGTATATTGTTGTCAGAGAAATAGTGTTGGATTAAGTCTTTAGTCTGTAGCACTTTGTTGGTATTGTTTAAAGTGAAATACAAGTCAGCTCGACCGATACAATATGTTAGCTAGTTGGGGCAGTGGGATATTCTAGTGGTTAAAGCGTTCTCTTGTCACGCCGAAGACTCGGGTTCAATTCCCTACAAGGGTACACTGTGTGATGCCCATTTGTGGTGTTCCCCGCAATGATATTGCTGTAATATTGCTAAAAACAAACGTAACACTAAACTCTTTGAGTGTTTTTTCTTAAATGTTGCAGGTACTTGCAGTTTGTAGTTTTCAGATTTCTCACCTTTAACACCGTCCTTGACATTGATCAAAAAGAGGTCAGCTGGTTCCAGTGAGGCGGTGAATGGGGCTTCTCGTGTCATCTCCAGTGTGAGGTACCTCCCCTTGGAGCACCATATTTTGGGTTTACTGCTTGTGCAGCTGTACGTCTGTTGAAGAAATAGTCCATCATCATCATCTATCATCATCATCACAATTATTATCACAGATCACATAGGGCTAAAAAATAATATCATCATCATCATCATCATAATTATGCAGATCACATAGGCCTGAAAAATAATATCATCATCGTCATCATCATCATCACAATTATGCAGATCACATAGGCCTGAAAAATAATATCATCATCATCACAATTATGCAGATAACATAGGCCCGAAAAATAATATCATCATCATCACCATCATCACAATTATGCAGATCACATAGGCCTGAAAAATAATATCATCATCATTATCATCACAATTATGCAGATCACATAGGCCCGAAAAATAATATCATCATCATCATCATCACAATTATGCAGATCACATAGGCCTGAAAAATAATATCATCATCATCATCATCATCATCACAATTATCATCATCATCACAAGATCACATAGGCCTGAAAAATAATATCATCATCATCATCACAATTATGCAGATCACATAGGCCTGAAAAATAATATCATCATCATCATCATCACAATTATGCAGATCACATAGGCCTGAAAAATAATATCATCATCATCATCACAATTATGCAGATCACATAGGCCTGAAAAATAATATCATCATCATCATCACAATTATGCAGATCACATAGGCCTGAAAAATAATATCATCATCATCACCATCACAATTTATCATCATCATCATCATCATCATCATAATCATTTATTATATCACAACTTACATGCGCCAGAGTAAATACTGTAAGATTTCCCTCGAAGACCTTCAGCTTAAAGTTGCAGTACTGATCTTTTGGTAGGAACTGCAGACACACTGTCTTATTCGTTTCTTCTCCAGTGTATTTGAAAACTGCTTGGCAAAGCGGGGGCAGGTCAGATGTTCGATCACTGTGACGATTCTTGACAACAACTGTCTGACTTTCATCCACCTCCCTCCTTCCACTGATACTTCCGCAGTCTGTGTCCAGGTGAACTGTAACCATGGTAACAGTGATTGAGTGCATATTGTTTTATACCACAGTAGATACTGCTTAAACCTACATACTGAGGTGGCAAAGGTTTACCAAGCTACCTGCATCCATGTGTCCCATACAGCCTTCATCTCACCCCTACCCACACTGCCTATACACATGTTCGGGGCAGTGGGGTAGCCTAGTGGTTAAAGCGTTTGCTCGTCACGCCGGAGACCCGGGTTCGATTCCACACATGGGTACAACGTGTGGAGCCCATTTAAGGTGTCCCCCACCATCATGTTGCCGGAATATTGCTAAAAGTGGCGTAAAACCAAACTCACTCACTCACTATACACATGTTCATTACAGCCTTCATCTTACCCATATCCATTTTGCTTGTACACATGTTTAATGTAGACTTTATTTCACCTCAATCATGCTGACTGTACATGTGTTCAATACAGCCTTCATCTCACCCTCACCCACGTTACCTGTACACATGTGTTCAATGCAGCCTTCATCTCACCCCAACCCACGTTACCTGTACACGTGTGTTCAATACAGCCTTCATCTCACCCATACCCACGTTACCTGTACACATGTGTTCAATACAGCCTTCATCTCACCCTTACCCACGTTACCTGTACACATGTGTTCAATACAGCCTTCATCTCACCCTAGCCTCTCATCCATGTGTTCAATACAGCCTTCATGTCACTAACCATGTTACTGTGTACATGTCAATACAGCCTTCATCTCACCCTTACCCACATTACCTGTCACATGTGTTCAATACAGCCTTCATCTCACCCTAACCTATGTTACCTGTACACATGTGTTCAATACAGCCTTCATCTCACCCTTACTCACATTACCTGTCACATGTGTTCAATACAGCCTTCATCTCACCCTAACCTATGTTACCTGTACACATGTGTTCAATGCAGCCTTCATCTCACCCCTACCCTTACCCACGTTCAATGCAGCCTGTACACATGTGTTCAATGTGCAGCCTTCATCTAACCCATACCCACGTTACCTGTACACATGTGTTCAATACAGCCTTCATCTCACCCTTACCATCGCTACCTGTACATATGTGTACAGCATGTGTTCAATACAGCCTTCATCAATGCACCCCTTACCCATCCCACCCTCTACCTGTACACATGTGTTCAATACAGCCTTCATCTCACCCTTACCCACGTTACCTGTACACATGTGTTCAATACAGCCTTCATCTCACCCTTACCCACGTTACCTGTACACATGTGTTCAATACAGCCTTCATCTCACCCCTACCCACATTACCTGTACACATGTGTTCAATGCAGCCTTCATCTCACCCCCTTACCCATCGTTACCTGTACACATGTGTTCAATACAGCCTTCATCTCACCCTACCCACGCATCTAATTACCAATGTACACATGTGTTCAATACAGCCTTCATCTCACCCTTACCCATCGCTACCTGTACACATGTGTTCAATGCAGCCTTCATCTAACCAATACCCCACGCTACCTGTACACATGTGTTCAATACAGCCTTCATCTCACCCCTTCACCCACCCATCGTTACCTGTACACATGTGTTCAATGCAGCCTTCATCTCACCCCCTTACCCACGTTGCCTGTACCTGTACACATGTGTTCAATACAGCCTTCATCTCACCCTTACCCACGTTACCTGTACACATGTGTTCAATACAGCCTTCATCTCACCCTTACCCACGTTACCTGTACACATGTGTTCAATACAGCCTTCATCTCACCCTTACCCACGTTACCTGTACACATGTGTTCAATACAGCCTTCATCTCACCCCCCCACGTTACCTGTACACATGTGTTCAATACAGCCTTCATCTCACCCTTACCCATCGTTACCTGTACACATGTGTTCAATACAGCCTTCATCTCACCCTTACCCACGTTACCTGTACACATGTGTTCAATACAGCCTTCATCTCACCCTTACCCACGTTACCTGTACACATGTGTTCAATACAGCCTTCATCTCACCCTTACCCACGCCGTTGTGTACACATGTGTTCAATGCAGCCTTCATCTCACACCCTTACCCATACGCCTGTACACATGTGTTCAATGCAGCCTTCATCTCACCCTTACTACCCACGTTGTGTTCTGTACACATGTGTTTCAATCACCCTTCTTACAGCCTTCATCTCAGCCTTCATCCCTTACCCGTTATCTGCCGTTACCTGTACACATGTGTTCAATACAGCCTTCATCTCACCCCAATGCAGCGCCTTCACCCATTACCTGTACACATGTGTTCAATACAGCCTTCATCTAACCCTTACCCATCGTTACCTGTACACACCTGTGTGTTCAATACAGCCTTCATCTCCCCTTACCTTACCCACGTCAATACCTGTACACACCTGTACACATGTGTTCAATACAGCCTTTCATCTACCCACCCTTACCATCTCATTACCTGTACACATGTGTTCAATACAGCCTTCATCTAACCCTTACCCATCGTTACCTGTACACATGTGTTCAATACAGCCTTCATCTCACCCTACCCAGCGTTACCTGTACACACATGTGTTCAATACAGCCTTCATCTCACCCTTACCCACGTTACCTGTACATATGTGTTCAATACAGCCTTCATCTCACCCTTACCCACGTTACCTGTACACATGTGTTCAATACAGCCTTCATCTCACCCTTACCCACGTTACCTGTACACATGTGTTCAATACAGCCTTCATCTCACCCTTACTCACGTTACCTGTACACATGTGTTCAATACAGCCTTCATCTCACCCTTACCCACGTTACCTGTACACATGTGTTCAATACAGCCTTCATCTCACCCCATGTCTTACCCATCGCTATCTGTACACATGTGTTCAATACAGCCTTCATCTCACCCTTACCCACGTTACCTGTACACATGTGTTCAATACAGCCTTCATCTCACCCTTACCCACGTTACCTGTACACATGTGTTCAATACAGCCTTCATCTCACCCTTACCTTCTTTACCTGTACACATGTGTTCAATACAGCCTTCATCTCACCCTACCCTAACCGCTACCTGTACACCTGTACACCCATGTGTTCAATACAGCCTTCATCTCACACCTTACCCGCGTTACCTGTACACATGTGTTCAATACAGCCTTCATCTCACCACCCCAGCCTTCATCTCACCCTACCCATGTTACCTCATCTCACCCCTTATGTTACCTGTACACATGTGTTCAATACAGCCTTCATCTCACCCTTACCCACGTTACCTGTACACTTGTGTTCAATGCAGCCTTCATCTCACCCTAACCTTTGTTACCTGTACACATGTGTTCAATACAGCCTTCATCTCACCCCTACCCATGTTACCTGTACACATGTGTTCAATACAGCCTTCATCTCACCCTTACCCTATGTTACCTGTACACATGTGTTCAATACAGCCTTCATCTAACCCTTACTCACGTTACCTGTACACATGTGTTCAATACAGCCTTCATCTCACCCCTACCAATGTTACCTGTACACATGTGTTCAATACAGCCTTCATCTCACCCTTACCCACGTTACCTGTACACATGTGTTCAATACAGCCTTCATCTCACCCCTACCAATGTTACCTGTACACATGTGTTCAATACAGCCTTCATCTCACCCTTACCCACGTTACCTGTACACATGTGTTCAATACAGCCTTCATCTCACCCTTACCCACGTTACCTGTACACATGTGTTCAATACAGCCTTCATCTCACCACTACCCACATTACCAGTACACAATTGAACTGATATTTGCATATACTCACCAGTTCTTCGGTTGCCGTGCATGTTGCGGACTTTGATGTTGATGTCAACGTCTTTGATGCTGGCTGTCAAACTAGTGCTCTTCTGTGCCAAGGACAGGGCTGCATATCTACCAGTTGAACAGATTTCCATTGGCACCGAAAAAGAATCGCTAGAATCATCACTAAACACCTGTGTAAAAGAAAATCATAAATATGAACGTTGCAGTCAGCAATATCCCAGCTATATGGCGACGGTTTGTAAATAAGCCAGACTGGACCAGACACTCCAGTGATCAACTATCATGAAGTAGCATATCAACACAAGTTTGCTAAAGCTGTGTCAAATTAATAGGTGTGGTGTAATTGGATTTAAAATAGTGTATTGCCTTTACACTGCAGTGTGTGTGTGTGTGTGTGTGTGTGCGTGCGCGTGCGTGCGTGCGTGTGTGGTGTGTGTTGGTGATAGTAGTTGTTGATATTCATTGAATGGGCCAGCCCACTGAGACATGATACTGTTTTGTGGTCTGAACTAATTTTGTGTGTGTGTGTGTGTGTGTGTGTGCGTGTGTGCTAGTGTGTGTTAAACTGCCTTTTGTGGCCTGACCTGATCTTTTGGGTCTGACCTGACCTTTGGTGGTCTGAAGCGATCTTTATCAGTCTGACCTGACCTTTGGTGGTCTGAAGCGATCTTTATCAGTCTGACCTGACCTTTGGTGGTCTGAAGCGATCTTTATCAGTCTGACCTGACCTTTGGTGGTCTGAAGCGATCTTTATCAGTCTGACCTGACCTTTGGTGGTCTGAAGCGATCTTTATCAGTCTGACCTGACCTTTGGTGGTCTGAAGCGATCTTTATCAGTCTGAACTGACCTTTGGTGGTCTGAAGCGATCTTTATCAGTCTGACCTGACCTTTGGTGGTCTGAAGCGATCTTTATCAGTCTGACCTGACCTTTGGTGGTCTGAAGCGATCTTTATCAGTCTGACCTGACCTTTGGTGGTCTGAAGCGATCTTTATCAGTCTGACCTGACCTTTGGTGGTCTGAAGCGATCTTTATCAGTCTGAACTGAATTTTGTTGTCTGAACTGATCTTTTGGGTCTGACCTGACCTTTGGTGGTCTGAAGCGATCTTTATCAGTCTGAACTGAATTTTGGAGTCTGAACTGATCTTTTTGTGTTTTGAGCCGACCCTTTTGGGTCTGTGACTGCACACATTAAATATTTGTATTATATCGGGAATCAAATCAGGGTTGTCAGCGTGACGAGCGAATACTTTCACAGCAGGGCTACCCCACCAGCCTGGAATACAACCAACCAACCAACCAACCAACCTAGCCAACCTAACCAACCAACCAACCAACCAACCAACCAACTAACCGGCCAATAAGCACATACCCTAGCTGGTGTGTTGCCAGTTGCTTCTTGTGCATCAAAGAAGTTGAGTTTCAAGTTTCCATTCTTGAAGTTAAGCTGGTCGATTTGTAAACACAAAGCATCATCCGGCCCAGATGCCTTGAAGAGGATCTCACAGGTTGAGAATGAGCTTGAAGCCATGGCGGGATTGCGCTCTGCATGCACGGTAACCTGATTGGTGAAGTTGATGGTGTTTGTTTGACCACAGTTAGCAAAAGTGTCAAAATACACTGAAATTAGAACATCAAAGATTACCTCTGGGGAAGGGCATTGAGTCCCATAGATTGAACACACAGTCTCAGAGAAAGGCACCAAAAACTAAAGACTAAAGCAAAACTACTAGAATCTGGTCTTTACTGAGAAAGTGCAAACCCAAATTTGACATATGACACTAGGGCTGCAAAATACACTATGTGGCGAATATGATACGTATCATGAATATTGGGTAACGAATACGAAGAATTATTCACGAATACAATATTGTACTTGAGTCATTGATGTACAAAATGGATCGCCCATGTTGACTGTTCGATTTGTCACAGCAATAACCAGTGATCTCCTGACACTCAAATTTGGTATGTAATAGTTATAGTCGACAGTACCATGTGCAGCCTTGGCAAACTTACATGACTTGCACTACTGCAATGCTAATACATGTTCCATTCTTGCATATCTCACTTTGGAAAAGGACATAAGGGTTCAAGTAAAACATGCTCCCTTAAAACAATCGTAAATATTCATTAATATTTGGTTCTGGTGACCATGAAAAACGAATTGAATTCATGAAGGGCTACGGTTTGATTCACCAAACGAGTGAATCGTTACAGCCTTATATGACACATTTCTAAATGATTTTTATACGAATCATGCAGATGGGTGTCAAGCTACAGAAACACACCTGTGGACCTATTGGGTGTAAATTTCCTACAAGTGGATTTGAGCAACAAATCTGACTCATGATTTGAACTACATACCTTTTCCCCTGAAACAAGGAATGGTAAGATTAAAATTACCCAGGCATAAGGGAATGATATCCCCAGTGTCTCTGGTACCAACTTACCTAAGTTAATGATTGACTTGTCCATGCATGTCTTTGTAATGTCCCACCACTGAGGCAGGATACGCTACACTTGGCAGAATACGCTACACTTGGTGTCATTACTAACTGACAGCCAGGTTGAAGGGAATCGCATCCCCAATATCTCTGGTAATAACTTACCTCAATAAATAATTGACCCGTCCTTGCATGTGTTTGTGATTTGCCGTCACCGGCGCAGGATACACTATACCAGGTGTCATCTCTAACTGAGAGTGATTTGTAGACACATGCAAAGGTGAGGTGAGGTGAAATTGGGTTTAATGTCGTGCTTGAGAATATTTCGCTCATATGACACCGTGCATGCGTGTGTATGTGTATGTGCGACTGCTTGTACTAGGCCAGACTTTTTATAAGCTGGTTTTATAGTGCTAGCCCACTGAGATACCACGCCGCAGTGAAGCATGAATACCCCACTCAGACACATTATACTGACTCCAAGCCGACCAGTCCTTGTTGTACCCATTAATGTCGAAAGCCAGGCAGGGATCAACAAGTACCATATTTTAACGTCTTTTGATATGACGCAGTCGGGGATCGAACCCGTTACCTTCCGCTCGCTAGGCGGACGCTCTAACCACTACACCACACACGCTAAGGATACAGTCAGAATCGTACAAGATGAAGATGGAAAGGGTTTTGTTGCTTTTGTTTCTATAGCAGTATACATTTCGCCTGACCAGCATGACCCATCTGAGTTACGGCTGTGTTCAGTCTACTCACCATCCTTATCCGCCGCAACACAGGACAGGGTCATTACAAGCAGAAGCACTCCGCCTCGACTCAGACAGGTCGTCATTGCTGCCAGTTCCGTCTGCAAAAGATTAATAACATCGAGGCATTAGATACACTTGACACACACATAACAAGCAGTGTTAGCTCCCAGGAATGTATACACATGGTTCGACGACACACCTGACTCACATATAACAAGCAGTGTTAGCTCCCAGAAATGTATACACATGGTTCGATACACCTGACTCACATATAACAAGCAGTGTTAGCTCCCAGAAATGTGTACACATGGTTCGAAAATATCTGTCCTGTCATCAGTCTGCCCTATGTGTGAAGACAGCATCATGTCTAAATCTAAAAGCAATTAAAAATCTCCAAACCATTATCATAGAGTCTGTTCCCACAACTGAAAGCATCTTTGATAATCTCCAGGGTGTATGTTCTGATAAATCTCCACTAGTACCCTGGATGCACCTACGGCTCGGCCGATAATTTGCCTCCCTTTGCTGGCTTTTTATCCAATCAGGTGTCTACACTGAGAAGTTGAGCGTACCAATCACAAGTCTTCTATCATAACTCACTTTCGCTTCTTATCTAACCGATTAAAGTTGGCAATACAATTGGTGCAGAGGTACCCTGAAAGAGGTAGAAGGAGTTCTAGCATAATTCTTTTTAAGGTTTCAGATTTGTCTATTTGTCTGTATGATTATTTCCTAAATTTGAGTGGCACAGCGAGCAAGCCTTTGCGGCTGCGACTGCTACGTTTGTTGACACTGGCAAGCTTGGTTGTAACGGCTTATCTGATTGGCTACTGTGAGAAGACGGACCCAGCAAAGGGAGGTAATAAAATTATTGGGCCGACCCATAGATGTATCCAGGGTACTAGTGGAGATTTATCGGTACGTACCGTATATGACCGTCTATAAGCCGACCCCATGGATAAGCCGACCCCCAAACTTGACCCTCAAAATCAGTGTCAAAATCATATCTCTCATGGATAGCCCCCCCCCGCGATGGGTCGCGGCCAACAGAGACCAGAGTACCCGGTAAGTATGTTCCATCAACGACGAGACACCATTACGAGAATATTACATAATAAAGATTACCGGTGTTTGTTTACCTTTTTTTAACGATCACTGCTTGCATCAACAACGAGACGCCATTTGGAAAGTGGATATACAGCGTAAGTGTTGGTGAGAATATTACATAATAAAGATTACGGTGTATTGTGGCAGCGTGTGTTTGTGTTCCTTTTATATCCGGCGATCACTGCTTGCATCAACAGCGAGGCGCCATTTTGTGAAATCGGTGAGTATGGAAATGTGAACCCAAGAGAAAAAGTACCATCGGTAAATAAAAACTGAAGTCAACTTTTGTTTCAAAATATATTATTTAAGTGTCCATATTTCATCTATATATATATGACAATAAGAAAAATAGTCCACTAACAATAAACCGCGACAAACTCATCCCACAGACAACTGGCAGTTACCAATAATTATAACTTTGGTCCACATTATTCCAAGAATTCACTGTCATATATATTGTGTCTACTCCGCGGATCGAAGCGAAGTGTAGTTGACAGAAAATGCATAATATATTTTGCTTCTCTAAATATCATATTTATTGTAGCAACAAACTGGCTTGCTTATTTTACCCCATTCAACAATCACAAACTGATTACGCCTCGTTCCATGTCGCGTGCTTACCTGCGTTCATGATGGTCATTATAACCTTAGTGTTGATTATATATTTTTACATAAAACTATTACACAATGCTAGGATATATTTCTTTTGGTTAAATAATAGTATTCAATCAATAGAATTCATCCCGTTATATTATTGTGCATGTTTGAACTTGTTAGGGGAAGCGTGTGCACAGCTGATTGCTATTTCGGCTTTGTATGCAGAGACAAATCATGCGGTAATCTTAATTAATTTATAGAGCAAAAACTGTAACTAAAATTACACAATGCTAGGATATATTTCTTTGGGTTAAATAGCGGTATTCTGTATTATATTTTACTGATGACTGCGTCAGAATTAGTCCCGTTATATTATTGTGCATGTTTGAACTTGTTAAGCGGAAGCGTGTGCACAGCTGATTGCTATTTCGGCTTTATTATGCGAGACAAATCGCCGCGGTAATCTTAATCCTGCAAATAAAACAATGCCCAGCAAAACAACTTATAACTTAAATGGTAATTAATCTTGTCTAGTGATGTTTAATTGCAAATTTGACGTCTCTACTGACAAAGTCGTCTTCTGTTGTTTGTTCACGCGAAGTGATACGATGTTGTTTTCTTACCCCTGGAAAAAAGTTTGACGAAAGTGTAACTCATGGATAAGACGACCCCCTTCTACAGACTGCTTTTTTTGGTCCTCAAAATTCGGCTTATAGACGGTCATATACGGTAGTCGGAACTAAATCCAAACTAGAATCTCTACTTCACTATGAGTAAGAAAAAGTGTTACAATTGTCCACTTTCTAAATGGCATGGTGTATTCACACTGTGTTTGCCATGAACCCAGTTTCATTGGTAGACTCATTGTGCAGGCATTCTGAACTACAGTGGAAACCTGATAAGTAAAATTTCAAGGGACTCGCCAAAATTGTTTACTTATCAGGTATTTTTTTTACTTATCCAAACTTATAAAAACCTGCAAATGACAACCATATGCATGTATATGTATGCATGTGTAACAATGAACACAGATCAGGCCTGGCCTCCAGTTGTCAGTGTATTGTCAACTGCTTGACGCCAGCGAGCTGTAAATAGGATGTTTGTTTGACTGGAGACTGACAGTGACACGACTGCCCCTCATGTTGGATTATGTGGTGATCGCTAATTTAGTTATCCAGTCTCTTTTGTTAAGTGATTTACTTCCAGGGACCGAGAGAAGACGTTTATTATAGTTAAGCGGTATTGTTTACTTATCCGAGTTTAGTTAACCGGACTCTAATAGTGATAATTAATGAAGAAATTTGCCGGGACCAAAGAAAAGTGTTTACTTATCAGGCCCCCATTTCTCAAAACAAACTTAAGTTTTTACTCAGATTTCAAACTGAGTTTGACAATTGGAAACAGCTGAATTTTTAACTCAACTGCAGTTTTAAAATAAATAAGCCCAAACAACGTAAGTAATCTATCCATCAAACTCAAATTGCCAACTATGTTTGAGTTTAATATTGATTTCAGTTCAACATGGGAAATGCATTTTCTCAAATTTGAGTAAAAATTCTAACTTAAGTGTAAACTCAGACTTAAGTTTGTTTCGAGAAATCGGGGCCAGGTCTGTTTAGTTAAGCGGTCTTTACTTAGGCGGTTTCCACTGTATGTCATACCTGATTTCAGAATACAAAATGCCCTCATGATAAAGCCAAACCAATTGAAAAACTGTACAAAGATACAAGACGTGACTTTGAAATACAGCTGAGAGCATTAACATCAGCTCAAATCCATATTCCTTGCAACACCTCCACCTAAACTTGTGCCAGCAAAGGCAGGGCAGGGCTATGTCCGAAAAGAGCATAAAGGCCCTGTTACTTCCCTTTACTGCACAAGGATTTAAAAATCAGTTCATTTCATAAACACAATGATACTAATTAAGATAAGACAAATAATAAAATAAAGATAGGAAAATACATGTTAAAATATTTCCTGGCCTATTTTAATCATTAAACATAACAACACTTAATGGTGGCCATCTTGGAAAACACAATATCTGCTATATGCACTCACAAAGACAGACATATCTTTTGTTTTGTAAAATTTTATTTCATTAATTTCAAAAATAAGACATAAACACAATGATACTAATTAAGATAAGACAAATAATAAAATAAAGATACGAAAATACATGTTAAAATATTTCCTGGCCTATTTTAATCATTAAACATAACAACACTTAATGGTGGCCATCTTGGAAAACACAATATCTGCTATATGCACTCACAAAGACAGACATATCTTTTGTTTTGTAAAATTTTATTTCATTAATTTCAAAAATAAGACATAAACACAGTGATACTAATTAAGATAAGACAAATAATAAAATAAAGATACGAAAATACATGTTAAAATATTTCCTGGCCTATTTTAATCATTAAACATAAAAACACTTAATGGTGGCCATCTTGGAAAACACAATATCTGCTTTATGCACTCACAAAGACAGACATATCTTTTGTTTTGTAAAATTTTATTTCATTAATTTCAAAAATAAGACTTTTAACGTTTTTGCCTGACATATAGAATTTCCCTGTCCGTGGTCAAGCAGTCCAATGAATGAGTGACCCTCTTTCAGGTTGTCACTATACATTGCGTCCTCCACTGTTAACCAATGGCACGGTCTTACCACAGTACAGCAGGGGTGGAAATAACTTTAAAATTGCTAGTGTAATCAGGTACAGTGGCACATGTAAAATCACTTGCCCTGATAAATTTTCCACTATACTTGCCGATTTTTTAAAATAAACAACGTATTAACATTGGAAAGTCAACTGGACACCGGTACAGTGTGATATACAAATTTGCTTGCCCGACAGAAAAAAACACTGGACTCGGACATCGGGCAATGGGTTATTTCCACCCCTGTACAGTACGTATTTATTGGGATACAAGGCCTTCAGTTTGGTCCGTTCGATTCGATGTATGACATGATCACACAATGCAAAAAAATGACAAGAGCCAAACCTAGATAGAATTTGACAAAATGATTCGATTTCTAGACATTTTCAAAATGGCTTAACACGGTTAATAAAATGATGATATGAAAACCGAAAACACCAAATTTTTTGATTGCATTACAGAATACCGAACTGAAGTTAAAATACCACAGTTCTGCTTATACCACAGCATACCGTTTCACCCCCAGATAATACCCTAAAAGTTTATGATATAAATTAAAAGGGACAAGTGTTGTTCACTTGTTCACTCATTTCAACTTAAATGATATATAGATGCCCGAATAGGAAAATGTTTGTATAAAATGAGCTTGACCTCCCTAATGCTTATCCAGATAAGGATGTTACCACGGACATGTTCCGACTATTTTCTTAGGAGGCGGGGCGGTGGG